TCTCTCTCTCTCTCTCTCGCTCATTCAGAAGATGAGTCTTCCAAGGTTTCCCTGACCTTTAACTTGCACATCGTGCGAATGTGTAAAGTTCTGCGCAGGCCTTCAGCTGAATTGACGCCTCAGAAAGCTTCGGCAGCAGTGTCTTGCAGCCCTGTGCCGTCGCTGGGCACCCAGAGATCTGCTAAGCGATCATCATACGGCCTGTATGCCTGAGGAAGGGCTCCTAACTGAGATTTCCCACAGAAGCATAAGATATTCTTTCAAGTGCGACCATGGCGATTGATCAAGGAGGCTGGCTCAAGCGCCAGCACGCTTGAAAGGAGCAATGCTGCTTGATGAGAAATGGGTCTTTGTTGAACACGTGCTCCAGCATTGCTTGATTGGTAAAAACTGCTTGTGTCAGCTAGAACCCTGTCAATCTCAGCTTTTCGCAACATTGAACATACTGAGATCGGAAAACGCCCTGCCATGAGAGCGTATTCAATCCCTAAGCCCGTAATGCGTGACTCCGAAACCCAACAACCTCAACACCTGAAATCCTAGACCCCTAAACCCTAAANNAACCCTAAACCCTTAACCCTAAAAGAAGCATGCCTTCAAGGCCGAGCAGGTCTCCTCAGCCTCAGCCGACCCATAGCATCGCAGCCACTCCGGGATCTGCCAAGGCCCACTCGTAAATTGGGGGCCGGACGTGGGCAGAAGTATTTTACAAGGATATCCCTAGTTTATGCTCAACGCAACCTCTCGCGGCCCCATGCCAAGTGGCTTTTCATGTTCTCTGGCTTTTCAGGCTGTTCAGTGCTGCTAGTTTATTATTTGGCTCCATTGTAGAAGGATGTATATGGGATGTTCCTCTCTGGTTTTGGAGCATGTGTAGTTTTCCCTTATTGGTTTAATGCAGAACCCGAACTATACAAAATAATTATGCCGGGCTCTTGAGATCGACGCCAAGTCAAAAAAGCCTGTGATTCGCAAGCCCCGGATTTAGGGTTGTCGTCGGGGAGTGTGGGGTTGAGGGGTTTCGGACTTGGGGATTCCATTCAATCTCAGGGGTTTGGGGATGAGGGATAGGGGATTTAAAGGGATTGGGGGCGGCTGGTGGAAGCAATGGCCACTGGACCTCGCGAGCGTGGACTTGCCCTCGGGGTCTGACGTCGGTGAACAGGTGTCAACAGGTTCCTCGTTTCCCTGCTCGACATCACCATCTTTGTTGCTTTTCTGGCATCCCCTGCACAGATTCGTCAACCCTGAACCCTAAATCCAAAGCATCATGTTCATTCTTCGTGGTTCCGCCGTCGACACAATCATCATGCTTTACGTTGTTGTTGTGATGTCTGTTATGAAGAGATGCCTATACAGCTATGAACATGCTACATCCTCATGTTTGCACTTAGTCTTCCTGTAAGAGGTAACCCTGCATGCCTGTCGGGCGGCGTCAGAACCCCGTGCAAGAATTCATTGCTCTCTCTGTTGCCTCTGTCTCCCTCTCTCTCTCTCTCTCTTTCTCTCTCTCTCTCTCTCTTTCTCTCTCTCTCTCTCGCTTTTTCTCTCTCTCTCTCTCTCTCTGTTTCTCTGGCAACACTGACAGTGATCTTTACGTTGTACTGACAAAATATTGACAGGGAGGGAGAGAGAGAGAGAGAGAGAATGCAACATGTACAGCCTTTAGCCCGTTCGGGGGGGGGCGCTGCGCGCCCTAGCTCGAAAACAACCGAAAGCACAATAACTTAGAGCAATAGTTTGTGTTTCCACGTAATCAAATGCACCTGTGGCAGAAGAAGTCGTACTTGTGGACGTGCGGAGAGAGGCACAAGACCACGCGATGCACAATTTCAGTAGTGATAACATACATGTGCGAAGCTGAACCCTGAACCTAAACCCCAAATCCAAACTGCCCCCACCCCCCCACCCCACTCCCCCGGACGATTACAATATCAGGCCCAGGTGCAGACGCCTGCTGCATCACCCAAACAGACAGTCACTGAGGAGGTGGCTTGGGGTGGCTTTCGGTAAGTTGCAGCAAGGTTGGGTATTGGAAGCCTTCGGTTTGCAGAGTGTCCGGCCATACTTTGGTTCTGAGGAACTGGTCCTTGTGCCGGGTTCAGACGCCGGAAGCCTCTGCATTAAGAGCCTTGTTTGGGTATCCTTATCATCATCGGGATCTTAAAGGGCCCTCTAGTTTCTGAAAACCCTATGCGGGGTGCCATGACATCGTACTGATGGTTTGCGCAATCTCGTTTCTATGCCTTGGTTACAAAGGGGGTCCATAAACGTAGAACCACTATGGAATTCTGCCCAGCCCACAACCATGCTCAGAATGGACTTTTGGGCCTACTTCCATCCTTGGTCGTATTGGTCGTATCCTTGTAATAAAAGGGGTCTAAATAATTACTAATACCTCATGATGATTATAGTCAGATTATAGTATAAGAGACCCCAAACCCTACTCAAATTATTACTGGACCCTAAACTCTCCGCTCCGGGCTCGGCCTTCCTTTCCGCCCGAAGCTCTTCACTCGTTCGGCTTCAGGTTTTAAGGTTCAGGCTTTAGGGTCGAGAGCAGCGTGGAGCGAGGCAGCTGTCCTGGCGTGACGTTGCAAGCCGGTTGAAAGGGTTCAGGCATTCGGGTATAGGCAGTATAGGATTCAGGGTTTCGAGTACAGGGCAGTAGCCTGGCATGCTCTAGTGGCTCTAGTAGGTATTGTCATTGTTCCGCTGATAGGTATCCGCGGAGAATGCGAAGAACTCCTCGTCACCGGGCAAGCAGGCGCCACTTACACCATCCCCGGTGGAGACAGCGCCGGCGCGCGCGACCCAGAACTGCTTTGAAGAAGTGTTGAAACGATTCCGGTTTCAGCTCGGCATTGCTGCACCGACCTTAGGATGGTGCCTGCGGAGCCTTCGGCTCTTCTCCAAGCTGCAAGCACAGTGGAGGCTGGGCCCAATGACATGACAAGGGAGACCTAGAGCAAGAAGCGGGAGCATTGGTTGCGTTCAGTCATGGTCTCCATTCATTCTTCCCAGCCGATGAGCCTTGTTCTAGAAGCCCCAAACTCCCTAAAATCTGAACTAGAATCTGCAAAGAGAGCCGTTGTCACTCAGTCTCTTTTCTCCAGATGTAGCTCTTGTTCTCCGAGGGGCCGCGATCGAAAGCTGGCGAAACTGGAGCCTTGGCAACAGTAGAAGGAGAGAAGCTGCAGAAACTTCGGGGTAAAGGTGTCCATCAGCATGTGGGTAATTTCCTAAATTCGGGTCCCTTTTTGGCTCCCAAACATAGTACGGCACCCTTGTAAAAAAGGATCCTAATAACAAGTACCCTAATTTAGAGAACTACCCATGTGTCATGACAGTTATCCCTAAACCCTAAACCCTAAACCCCTAAACCCCTTTTGGATCTAGACCGACAGACCAAGAGCCGAACCTGGCTATGCGTTCTAAGAGGGATCTATAAGTTAAGGGTTCTGCTGCGCAACGGGAGGCTAGCTGAAACCGAGCACGCTGAACCTTATAAGCCTTATAAAGCCCCGATGCTTAAAGCCTATGATGCGGCAGGCCCTACCAAGCCTGAGGTTTTATGACCGTAAGTTACTGCAAGAACATTGCAACCTCGCGCTGCTAGATACCCTCCAAAAAAACAGCTTATATACCCAGATGCTGAACACGTTGCAGCCACATAGCTTTCGTTCGACCCGGGGACCCTTGATGCGGTGACTCTGAGTTTTGGCTTAGGGCTTGTGCTCAAGTCAAAGAGGTTGCCAGGTTCTTGGCCCCCCTTAGGCCGATTTCGCTCTTAGGTGCCGTCGTGGTCTGCCAGGGGCCACAGGCAGGATGTGGGAAGGCCGGAGTGATAGCTCAGGAGTCGCAAGGGGCCTCAAGGATGCTGTGGGCTCTCAGGCTTCCGCGTTCCCGTTATTTGTACATACTATTGGACTCAATTTTCAGTTCATCTGAGGGTGGAGGTTTGCAGCCTTTTTCGCCGCGCTTCGTTTCAATGTGTCTGCAGACGTGGTTCAGTTGCATAAAGAACTAGTATTTAGAAGTGTTGCCGCAAAGACGTAGTATGTCGAAAAGACCTTCAGTCGGACGATGCTGCACGATCATCTTTGAGTACACAAACTAGTTCCCGTGAAACTGTACCCGAATGAGGGAGGGTCGCGTCAGAGGTTTGGCTGAACGTTTGCAGCGATCCTTCGGATCTCGTTCGTATCTGTGTGTGCGTGTACGTATGTAGGTATGTATGTATGTATGTATGTATGTATGTATGTATGTATGTATGTATGTATGTATGTGCGTGCGCACGTACGTATGCATGTATATATTATATTATGTATATATAGGCATGTTGGGAACGCTATTCTGGATTCTAGGGATGCTAGCAATGAAAACCCGGCTTCGCAAGAGGCGAGACCTTTTTTTGTTGAGACCTCCCCCTCTAAGCATCGACCTAAACCCGATTTAGGGTTTAGGGGGTCTTCGACATCATCATTTTCTTTTTCAGCTCCGAGGATTTTTAGGTCTCAAAGGGTTTGTCTTCGGGTGCTGGAGAAGAAAGGTGTGAAGGTTCCATCGTTTCGTATACATCTTGGCTGAGCAGCTGGCACCACGATATAGCCTTCTTGCTCGTGGTCTTGCCTTGGGGCTTGATTGCCACTTTGTTGATTTGCTTTGCTTGCTCTGAAAGTGCGGCTTGTCATGGTTGCCCCTCTACCAGAGCAAGCCTAGTCATTACCTTCCTAATTTTTCCAACTGAAATTATAAAATTAAACTTACAAGACTTGAAATCAGAATAGTTCAACTGTTAACACTTCGCGTCGTCCGCTTCGGCCCGGCCGCAAGTGAAGAGGGCCGACGAGTTGCTCGGCTGTTCTTCAGCCCCGAAGAAATCACTTGAGAAACCCTATACGCTAGGCCCTAAACCCGTCCGAGTGTGAATAGGAACCTCTGACCGCTTCGGCCGGGTCCGAGGCGAATATGAACATTCCAAGCCAAAGAATCCAGGACTCCTCCCAGCTGCATAGTCCCTATAGCCTGAGCACCCTCTGAAAGGAAGGGTTCCAGAGCTCGTCTGCTTAAAAACATAGGTGATCGGCGATGTGGGCTATAAAATTTGGGATCGTAGGGCGCTGGGTCAGAAGATGTAGGCAGGGCTGGAGCTTTTAGGGTACGGGGAATTATAGGTGTGGATGAAAAGCCCTAAACCCCAAACCCCGTGGCAGTGTAGGTTTCTGTTTTCCTGTGTGCCCGCACAGCGCAGGTCTCGTCGCCTAAGCACGTCATGAAGCAGGTCAAGCTCTTGCCGGGCAGCCAAGATGTGGGAGCTTCCGAAAATAAGGGGATACCTGATTTTGGGGTCCTTATAAAGAAGGATCCTACTATTTCGGGTATGATATTATAGGGTCCCCTATTTTCGGAAACCCCCATATGGTGAGCTGGCTTCGGTTGCTTCAACGAAGACTTCGTTACCCAAAACCCCGGAACCCGGCTCAGGGTCCAGCTTAGCAGACAGAGACGGTGCAAGTCGTTGAAGCAGGAACGGCAAGAAAGTCAACAGGTGCAAGTCCTGAGTTTCGAAGCTTCAGCGATCTGACTCTGCACGCTCACGCTCGAGAGCCATGGACAGAGACCAGTTCATCAAAGTGCTAGACCAGTGTTGGCATGACTTTCGACGCCAGGCGATCGCGGCATACCCCGAACAAGTCGCCAGCCTCCGACCGCCATCACCAACGGGCAGAGAGCTGCAGGTGGGCTCCTCAGCCGCGCGAGGACGCTCCGACGAGGACAGAACCCCTGGACCAGCCGTGAGCAACCAGTCGTCTCTGAAACCGCTGCATGAGAATGACAGCAGCATGATCGACGCAGAGATCGTGATCGCTTCTACGGCCAGTCCCCTGCTCCGCTCGGCGCTGAAAGATATGCAGCCTTCGGAAGCCCTGGCCACTAGCCGCCGTCTGCGGATACGACTGGGAGTTTCACCGCATCAGCAGCTTGTGTCTGGGAAGTCTCTTCACGAGGCGCTAGTCGCACTAGGTCTTACGAGATATGGCATCGAGGACATGAACAAGCTTGTGAATGCACTGGCGTCCTACGTTGGGCTATACTTCGAGGACACGTCACCCCGGAGGGCCAAGTTTCACGAGGAAGCGGATCTTTTAAACAGTTTGCAGCCATCCTGGAACTGGCCACCGAAGGACGCCTCTGCATCTCCACAGGATGCCCGGATGGAGAAGAATGTGGTTCCCGCACAAGCCTTGATGGAGCTCTTCCTTGCTGAAGAAGGGCATGTTCATCGAAAGGTCTTTCAGGGAACCGGGCTGCTGCCTCAGTTCAAAGCCATGAGGGAGATCCTACTGGCCAGCGATGCAAACCGCCTCGTCGCCGAGCTGACTTTTGTCCCTTGGACAGCCAATGGGAGAACTTTAAGCTTTTTGTCCTTATATAATCTTATATATATATATATATATATTATGTATATATATATATATATATATATATATATTAGATCTGTGTTAAAAAGTTTGAACTTGTTTGGCCTGGTTGTTGAAGAAGAGAGGTCCGGATCAACGACCTGGCAGCCCCTCCAGAAGCCATGCATCCCTTGATGTACATCGAGCCCTTCATCGCCCTGATGATTCTGGCGAATGGGATCGTGATAGGCTTTCAGACCGACCCCAGCTACCAGAATTGGGAGGGATGGATCTACCTCGAGACAGCCTTCGCGGTCCTCCTCGTCCTAGAGATTTTGTTTCGAATCTATTTTCTTCGGTGTCGTACATATTGGTGCGGCCCGGAGAGATATTGGAATTGGTTTGACGTCTTCCTGGCGGTGACTTCGGCAACCGACTTGACGCTGCAGGTTGTTGAGCAGCAAGCCAGCGACATCGCTGGCACCAGTCTCTTGAGATTCACGAGGCTGATTCGGCTGGCTAGAATTGTGAAAGTCTTCCGCTTGAAGATTATGAAAGATTTGCGTCTCATGGTCAAGGGATGGATTGCAGGTATACGAACCCTCGTCCTTGCATTCACTTTATTGTTTGCTGTCCTTTACGTCATTTCTGGCTTCGCCACCATGGCACTTGGCGGTCAACTCGAAGTGGACGGAGATCTGTCGCCTTACTTCCGAACGATTCCTGCCTCGATGTTTACCGCCTTCAGATGCTTCACCGGCGAGTGTGTCAGCAGCCAGGGACATCCCATGACCGATGCTCTCGCGACCAAGTTCGGGTTGACCTTCATAATCCCCTATGTTGCAAGCTATATGCTGGTCACCATGGGCATCTTCAACGTGATTTTGGCTGTCTACGTAGACATAACCATGCGGGCCGCAAAAGAGACGGATGTTCACAACGCAGAGCAGCATGCTCGTGAGTCCATTCGGGTGGCCCGGTGTGCTCGAGAGCTTCTGAAGAGGTTCGCTACGGCGTACCGGGAACTCAGCGATGCTGATCATGGACCTTCGGCGGTGGGAAAAATCTCCTCCATGGAGTTCACCTCAAACCGAGCTGGAGTATTCACGGACGATGATAATCATGATCAAATCGAGATTTCCAAGGAGCTCTTTCTTGTCGTCATTCAAGACAGGGGTGTGCAGAAGCTCATGGATGAGCTTGATCTACCGCCAGACCGGGCCAACATGTTCGAGGTCATCGATGCCGACGGGAACGGCACTCTCCATGTCCAAGAGCTGGTGCAGGGCATGCTGAAAATCCGCGGCGACCTCACCAAGAGTGACACGGTGGCCGCCTTGCTGGCCACCAAGGCGCTTCAAAGCGCAGTCGTGCAACTCAAGCTTGACCTTGCACAAACTATCGAGACTTTGCACTACAACCTCAACTATGTTGAGCCGCATCAAAGAACTACATTGCAGAGGAGCTTTGAGCATCACTCCGATTTCGGAGTGGGTGTGGAAGCTGAGCCACGAGCTTCGAGCCGAGCTAATTTATTGTCGCATCCACCCGTCCAGCCGGCAAAGCCAGAGGACGGCACGGAACAAAGTGACAACGAGCTAGATGTTTTGCCCCGCCGATTGTCTCACGAAATGCATAACTCCTGAGGGGTTCTGGATGTACCAGATTGGTGCGTTTTTTTAGACCGGATGCCCAGACGTGTCCGTGCCACCGGGTAAACAGTGACTTCGTCGCTGTGCATCGGTGCCCTTAGTCCCGCTCAGAAACCTGCCGTGCTCGCTGTGGCTTGCGGGAGCCAAAATCCCGGGGGCCGCACGCCACGAGCACCCCTCAACTCCCGCAAGCTCCTAACGGCGGCAAGAGCACAGCAGATGAAAGCACAGCAGACCCCGTGTAACAGCACTCCATGCCTTGTCAGACCTTGGGTCCCTACCATGGCCCCCCAAATCCTGTCAGTTTGGACCCCCAAAACCGCTTGAAAGCCGAGGCGACTGCTTGGCTTAATGCTTTACCCTAACCCTCCAGGCACCTACTATAGGGTTTAGGGCTTAAGGGTTTAGGGTTTAGGGTATAGAGGGTACTAGAGCTCCTAGGGCCCTTTATAGTAGGTACCTGGAGGGTTAGGGTTAAGCCTCTCCAAAACGCCCGAAATCCGATAGCCACTTCAACGTGTGTCGCATAGCAAGCCGCGAAATCGGACGTGTCACACAGCAAGGAGTGACATCTACTTGTCAGGACACCCCAAGTCCGCAAATTCCCAGCAGAAGCGAGAGCTGTAAATCCCAAGGCCCACCACAAGCCTTAAGCCCGGAGTTCCCGAATCTTAAACCTCTAAACCCAGAAACCCTAAACCCTCCTGTTTTAGAAGCCAAGCCAAAACCTAAACCGGAAACCCTACACCTCTAAACCCGAAATCCCCAAGTTTTACAAGGAAAGCCTTAGGCTGTCGGGCGCTGCGACCGCGCCGCCACCCAAACCCGCCGAGCTCCGCGGCGCACTTCGCAGGGCGAAGACGGAGCCGGGGCCTTCAGGGGCTCGTTTAATGTAGGGTTTAGGGTTTAGGGTATACCATCTTGGGGGTTCGTCATTATAACTATATGGTATAAAAGGACCCAAAACCCTATTCTAATGATGAAGGCATTAATCTAAGGGCTCCTTGAAGGGATCCTGTGAGTCCTTGTGAGGGTCCACAAGGGGGTGGTTTTTTAGGGTTTAGAGGGCTTCAGGGTCCTTCTGAGGGTTTGTATACGGGATCCTTGAAGGGTTCCTTCAAGAGCTCATGTACTGGCTCCAACTGTAGGGAACCCGGGGAGCTCTTTTTTTCAAAAGAAAGAACCCCGAAAGCTCTGTTTAACCAAAAACAGTGGTGTGTTGGGTGCAGACTTCAGGTTCCGGTTTAGGCAAGATGCCGGGGTTTACAGCTTAGGGCTTTAGGGTTTTTGCTGCGGTTTGAGGCCGGGGTTGACTGTTTAGGGAGCTAGTGCTGCAGTAGACTGGGGTTCAGACGTTAGGGTGCAGGATGTCGTTCGCAGCGTTCAGATCCCACGCGTGTTTGATGAGTTTGTTGCTAAGCTAGTATGATAAAGTTGAGTTAGTGAACACGTAAATAAGTAAAGGAAAGCTAGCTAGATAGCTGGCTAGCTCATTGGTTAGTTAATAAAGTAACGTAAAGTAACATAAAGTAACATAACATTGGGTAAAGCAAAGGTAAGGCAAAGTTAAGTTAAAGTACAGTAAAGTAATGTAAGCAAGTACGTGTGCAAGTACATGTGTGTGTGAAGAAATAAGCATGTGTGCAACTAAGTGTGCGTGTGACAGCCCGAAAAGGTCCGAAAGGCACCCCTGACCAGTCGCAACCAGCTCGACCTCTCTGGAAAAATCATAAGGGCCTGAACAATTTTCGGCTGTGAGGCCTTTAAGGGTTCCTTAACATAGATGCATTAATTATCATATACCCGAGCCCCGATGGAACTTACTGAGACGCCCTAAACCCCAAAGCCAAAAGCCTGCTGAGGGTTAGGGGTAACGGATCAGCAGGTTAAGGGGTAATTAGCATGGGAGCTTCAACTGATAGCAAGAATGAGAAGACCTACGTTTTCTCGGTAGTGCCGCGATGCCGTCGTTTCTCCTATAGTGTTTAGTTGGATGGTTGTGGCGTTTAGATGGCAATGACAGCTGCGCAGAAGCTTGCTTGCTGCTGTGTCTGGTATTTTAGCTTGGGCTCAGGGGGTTCTAAGAGTTCAGGGTTTAAGGTTACAGGGCTTACGGTCCAGGTACTGTGATATGAGGATTTGGCAGCTGTAGTTAGTATACTAGCTGCCTGACTTAGAACTGTTGTGGATCCTTGCCTGCCTCATGCGACTTTAGAGTCCAAGCCTTCAACCCTGAACACGAGGGGCGATAATGAAAGCTTACATGGTGGGGGAGGTCTTGGTACGCAGAGACCATCTCGCAGCGGGGAGCCTGGTTTGATCCGGGGTCCCACGAAATGCTAGACACGATGATCCGGCCCTCAGGCTTGAGGGACATCCATACCCTAAACCCTAAACCCTAAACGAAAAACCCTAAACCCCAAACCCTAAACCCCTAAACCCTAAACCCCTAAACCCTAAACCCTAAACCCCTAAAACCTAACCCCCAAACCCTAAACCACCTAAGCCCCAAACCCTAAACACGGATTCCAGAAGCCCGCAAGTCGTCGGGGGCCCGTATGAATGGGAGGTCCGCCTCACGCTATGACCTGCTTGGAGTGTGGGGTTGAGGGTTTATACTCTGTAAGTGTTTAGTTTAGGGTTTAGGGTTAAGGGTTTTTTAGGCTCTAGAAGGGCTTTTTGACCGCTTAGGGTTGACAAGAAAAGGGTTCAAAGCTTCCCTGCCCGGAAGTTTATGCGCCAAATTCTATTTCGCAGCATATGGTCTCTGAAAAGGGTACCGCTTGGCAGGTCCTAGAAAATTCGTGTTTAGCGCTCAGGGTTTGGTTCGTTACAGAGTCAGCCTTGGACTGACAACATCGAAGGCGATGGCCTATGAAGAGCTTACTAGGCTTCAGAGGTTTGTGGATAGAAAGTTCAGTGTTTCATGGGTGTCATACAAGAGTGCCGCGGATACATTCTGTTCAGGGGCTCTTGGGTCAAGAACTCAGTCCCTACCCTTCCGACACACGAAGCCACAGCGATGCGAGGAACCACCTAGCCACTGTCGTCAACGTAAAGGCCCGATGAACTGGTAAGACAGGGGTCTTATCTTATACCAGAATACACCGCGAAGTGCGAGTCTAGTGACAAAGGGAGGACCCTATATTCGCTTCAGCTATAGTAGCTACAGCAACACGTTGATACCATAATGCTATGACACTGGAATACTATACTACTGCATTACTACAAGACTATTCTAGTATACTCCTATGACGAATTGAAGCTGTTTGCCCTAAACTCTAAATCCCTAAACCCCTAAAGTCTAACCCCTAAACCCTAAACCCCAAACCCTAAGCCCGAAGAGCTCAAGAAGCTGCAGCGGGCGAGGCTCGATGCATCGCCCGATGCCGCTGAAGCGCAACTAGGAGGTTCCTCTCGACAGAGCTTTGAACACTGTCTTTCGGGGCTTTGGGGTCTAAGGCAGAGGGTTGATTTAGAGTTTAGGCTTCTGTGTGACCGTGTGGTGTGTGGTTTCGTTCTGGTTTTTCATCATGTATTTTGAATCATTTTTGGATGTTTCAAGTTCGTGGTTCTCAGCACCCGTCCTCGCCGCGTTCGGGATCGTTCAGGGCTGCATTTCAGGGTTTAGGCCAGTCTAGGCCTCGAGGCTTCACGGCTTCAGGCCTCGAGTTGGCTAGATCAGTTTATGTTTGTGTGCAGGGTTTAGGGTTTTTTGGGCGGTTTAGGGTTTAGGGTTTAGGGGGTTTAGGGTTTAGGGTGCAAATACTAGCCCATGTTTGGTTTCGACCAATCCGGGGTCAATCAAGGAGTGTGTGTGTGTGTGTGTGTGTGTGTTTGTGTCTGGCTCTAGTCTATCGGTGCGAGGGTTCAGGGCTTAGGGTGTGGGGCTTGAGGTTCTTTACCGTGCGGTTGTTCGGGAACTCGGGAACTTATTGGGGGTCGACATTTCCTGATACTTTTGACGGTTGTACATTCCCAAAAGGGCATGAGTAGTAAGATTAAGCTAGAAGTAAGATTAAACGGTGGATTCTCAAGTTACTGGCACCTCACCTAGACCTAGACCTAGAGCACCTCAACCATTTTCATCAGCAAGCGCGAATCTCGACAAAAAGCGGCATACGGGCCTATTCTGCTCATCCCGCCCCCTCTAAACCCCAAGCCCTGAGCCCTAGGCAAGTCCGAGTGCGAGTGCTGAAACCCTAAACCCTCAACCTTAAAGCCTTATGGGGCTCTCCGTCAGCAACCTAGCAGTCGGGAAAAAGGGTGTCCCAAAAAAAGCCTAATGTAGGGGCCCTACTGATTAGAATAGAGCTTGGGGGTATACTATACCATAATTATAGTAAGGAACCCCTCAAAGCCCTAGTCTAATTATTAAGGCACTTACACACACCCTAAACCCTAAAGCCTTACACCACAGCCTTGAACAAACCCGAACACTCGCAGCGACTCCGGTGGGTCCTTCTCGAGTAGCGTCTCCTTCCCTTTTGTAGAAATGGGTTTAGGGATTAGGGTTTAGGGTTTTTGCCAAAACAAGGACCTTCAAAAAGTTAGGTTCGTGGGGTTCGGGGTTACCCTGGACCCAAAAGGAATGTAGAATCAAAGCCTTTCATAAGTCTCTTCGGCCATTGTTTATTTATTTATTTACTTTTTGGGGGGTTTAGGCAGGGTTGACGTTTGAGGGTTCAGGGTTTGGGGATCCTCAGCACCCGAGTTTCAGCAGCACTTGGCTGAAAACACGAGGCCCCAGACTCCTAGCCCTGGAGGCCCTGAGCCCAAGACCCTGAAGCTTGAGTAGGGGTTCTTTCATTACCTATACCCAAACCCCCAAAACCTAGACCCAAAACCCAAGACCCTAGGCCCGAGACCGTAGACATCCCTAAACCCCAGACCCCTAAACCCTAAACCCCAACCCCCCAAAACCCTATAGACCCTCAACACCCCTAGACCCCTTAAGCCCTAAACCCTAAACCAAAGGCCCCTAAACCCTAAAC